TTTTTTTTTTTTTTTTTTTTTTTAACCTTTCCCCCAACATTTGCTTAATCTGCTCTTCTTTCTATGTTTAAAGAGGGTCTGGTTTCAGAGCTGTCTCTGATTTTGAATAAATGCAAATGGATTTAGATAAAATCTCATTCCAAAGGGGAGATGGTTTCAGAGAATCGTTTAGCCCAAGGATTACAGTAACACACTAGAGGCATGGGACAACCCTTGTGGATCCCAAAGACCCACTTTTCTGTGGACAGGGCTCAGGAGTTTTAGATTCTCAGCCTGAGTAAATGACAAAATGACAAATGTGAATCTTAAACAATTTAGAAAATTTGTGCTCAAGAGGGTCCAGCTGGGTCTCCGAGGATATTTTCCAGGATAGGTCTTAAATAAAAGCTCCAGCCGTGCCCGGTGGTGAAACCACAGGCTGTGCATCGGAGCATGACGCTATGGCGCTGTCTAGACTGTGTTAAGTGCGATTATGTTGGGGACACTTCCCACAGGTATAAACAGATGAAAGAGATGTCCACACAAACTGTAGCATCTGCTTCTGCAGCAGACAATGTCGCCAAGTATCTGGACAAATGAGAAGCTGCTTTTCAACTAACTGTGGTCCCCAAATTTTTGTTCTTGTTGTATGGAACTTAGCGATCGGAAAAACAGAGGTTAGTAGAACAAATGCCTGGGTTCCTGCTACTCAGAATAGACCACTGATATAATTTTTTCACATCTGCTATTTCTTTTTAATTAAAAAAAAATAAAGCATAGGTATAATTTCCTTGCCAACCCCACTCCAAAGCCAGAACATAAATATGTTTGCATCTCTCTAGTCCACTTTTTAAAACATTCACATACAACACGTGTATCCAGGACAATGCCCAGTGCTGTGTTTTTAATTTATCTGTAGATATGAATCTATGTATATGTGTCTATCCCTCTGCATTTCTGACTCAACGTTAGGTATGTGAGAGCTAACTGTGTGGGTCTCTAGCTCACCCCCTTAGCTGCCACACTGAATAAATATATGCTCAGTCATTGTCTTTTCACCCAACACCCAACGTTTATGGCACCATAAAAGCACTTGTTATATCATTAAGTGATTGTTGGTTATGTGTGGGTGTGCAGATGTATGTGTGTAGGTGTGAGTTTTCCCTGCCGGTGGACTCTGAGCTTCTCAGGATGTTGCCTTGTCTTGTTTTAACAGTGGCTCTTCTGCAGGGTGACTCCATGCAGAATCAACATCCAATGTATTAAAAGGCAGAATATATTTGTTAAAAATTGACCTGCTTATTATTTCTCTTCCTCCCTTTTAAAGCAACATTAAGGAAGACTTTGGGGTGGTATTTATCTTTTTTCTTCACAGTCTCTCTCCACTGTGCTTCTTCTGAATCTTCAGGTCCCAAGCCATCAATATTACCTTGCTGTTTGCTAGACAGTCAGAAACTCTGAGAGCATGAGGCCAACGATGAAGACATTTAAGACACATATTCTAAAAACATTCTTAAAGACTGACTTGCCAAGGCCAAGAAGAAGCTTGTGTTTGTAACTGTTGTGTTTTTATGGTGAAAATGGTATATATTCACTACTACCCTTGACATTAATATTTAAAAACAAACAGTGCCTTTTGTATGAAAACAATATTAGACTTTGATTTATTTTTTTGAGGCTTTAATTCTGATTTAGAATTTGAAGAATTTATATGGACCTGACTCAGGATAAACCACCTAAAAATTCTCATATAATGATTAATAATAATCAGCTTTTTAATATATAACATTTACTCAGCACATTTCGTGGGCTGGGTTATGCAATATTCTTTCACCTCATTTCACTAAATTTAATCCTCAAAATGATCATGTGAGGTAGGTATTATTAATAAGCCTATTTTTCAGATGAGAAAAGGAGAGGCAGAGAAAGGTTTAAAATTTTGCCCCAAGTCAAGCAGTGAAGAAGAGGCCAGGCAGGACTCTCACCCAGGCAGCAGGGTGTCACAGGCCTTGCTCTGAATTACTGAGAACAGGCTCAGGTCCTAAAGATAAAACTGCAGAGAAGGAAGCAGAAAAATAGTGTCATTGGGGTAGCTTCCAAATTTTGCTATAACACAGAGAGACAGCATCTCTTTCATGGTGTGTCTCAGACCTAGAACAAACCGAATTAGAGGCCTCCAAGTAGGCATATTCAAAGTGATTTCTTAGCGACGAAGGAAATCTGAAGTAGCACGGTCGCGCTCCAGACCCATCCAACCTAAACATACCTATTTTTTTATTCTTCTCTTTAGGAAACAGGGAGCTGTGCATTCACTCATGGCTCAAAGGAGGTGGCCCAGTTTGTACACCCAAGATTCAAAGCAAAAATGAGAATCGCTTTCTGGCACAACGTTAGCCGTGAATGTGTGTTCTTTACACATTTTTAATAGGGGCACAAATATATTAACAGTGCGGTTATTTTGTACTTTCAAAAGAATCTGTTTTGTAACTGATTCATATTTATATTTGGAATACATTTATTTCTGGGCATGAAACAGTTCATTTTGTAAAGCCATCTGACCTGAGGTGAGGCTGGCACAATTTTCCAGGACTGCTCCCAATTAATGCAAGTTGAAGGTTAAAGGATAAATAAAGTCCTTTGAACTTGGTTTACTAATATGTTATTTATAAATGTCTCTTTACTTGGTCTATTTTTTTCATTCAGTAACTATGTACAAATGAACAGTACGGAACAGATTAGTAAATACATAATGTGTATTTTATTGCAAAGTTTTCATTTTAAAAGGGTTACTATTATGGCAAAAAATTAATGCCATCTATTGTCATCAATCAATCAATCAATCAATCATCTCTGTTGTCTCTGGTCTGTTTAAATCTTTTGGAGTCTGAGCAGACTGACTGCATTGCATTAACGGCCAGCAGTCTTCACCCCTCCCTGCACCTACCCTTTCACCATGCCACTCTGTAGTTCTTCTCACTAAAGAAGTTGAGCCTATTTTCCTGCCCCTTTGATTCTGATTTCGGCCATGCGACTTGCTTTGGCCAATGGACTGTTAGCAGGCATGCTGCATGCACATATTTGAAAAAGCTCTTGTTATGTTCAAGTGTTTTCTTTTGCTTTTCTGTGATTGCCGAGAGAACGTGCCTGGCTAGCCTATCACGGTTGAGAAACATGGAGTGGAGTTGACTCATGTCAGTTGTTTCTGCCAAGGCCATCCTACATCAGCCTTGACCAGCCAAGCCCCAAACATATGAGAAAGCCCAGGCACAATAAGAAGAGCCACCAGGCTGACCTACAGATGACCACAGATGCATGAGTGGGCCCAGATCAAAGTGGAAGAACCACCCAACCAACCCTCAGATTCATGAACTTATAAATGCCAATTGTTTCAAACTATTGCATTTTGAGGTACTTTGTTACTGTGCCAAGTAATTCCATGTAATGCTATTGTGCACTAGATGACGGATATAGGACCTACCCCTGGTTCACTCAAAAAAGACATGCCCACATAGAAGACAGTTTAAAATTAGGTAATAAAATTAAGCAAATATCCACCAAATACCAAGTTTACCAGTCAAGGTTCCACCAGGAAAGTATAAACTGGTCTAAGTATTTAAACAGAAGAACTATAATGTAAGGCATTGATTACACAGGTAAAGAAAAAGATGTGAAGGCAAATGGGGAAATGAGGCATCCAGGGACTCAGTAACTGCAGGAAATCCCTGAGCTATAGGGACAAAGAATGGAAATGTTGATAGTGGAGCCCTGGAACAAGGGCCAACCAACAGAAGCTGAAGGCCCAAAGGTCCTTTCTAGGGGAAGCGAAAGTCCTCGAGGAGACACAGTTGCCATCAGCGATACTGTCTGAGGCAGAGAGTGTGGGGAAGAAACACCCTGGCTTCTCCCTTTTCACTCTTCCATTCTCCCTCCATCCCAGAGCTTTCCTATGGCTGAACCCAGATGGAGGCCAACTGACTCGGGAACCTGGACAGCACAACCCTCAGTGAGCAGCCTCAGTAATACAAGGGAAGGGCAAGAAAAGGATCTGAGGGCCAACAGGCAAATATACCACCATGATGTGCAAGATATACCAGTAGGACTCAGTGCTGAGAGCTATAGACACAAAAATAAAGAGAGTAAGAAGATACATTGGGCTTGAAGTTTAGAAAGTAGCAGCAACTGTGGGAGCAAAGTGAAGGAGACATTGGGGAAATAGCAATATTCTAGTTTGGCTTAGAAGTTTGTGTATTTGGGAGGAGGGAGCAATGATGCTATAAAGGCAAGAGCTTGAGTTTGGATTCCAATCCCAGCAGATTGGACTTCTGTTCTGAAGACAACAGGAAATGAAATGGTTCTGAGCAGAGAGTAATACAATTAAAATTGGATGTTAGGAATATTACCGTGATAGAAATCTGAGGGGTAGACTGGAGAGAGACAACTAGACTAGGGGTTTTTACCTGGGCAAACTGGCAGGAGTTTGTGCAAGCATGCAGTTTTCTGAGAGATGGTACGTAGCTTTAACATGGTTTTCAGTAAAGTTCATGACCTTTGATCCTACCAAAAATTGTAAGTGCAGGAGGCAGGGAAGTTATCTAGAAGGTTTCTACAGTAATTCTTTTAATGAGGATCAAAAATGTAACAGTGGCAATGCAAAGAGCTGAACAGATATAAACACTTCGGAGGCACTATCTAAACAAGTAGTCTAGATGAATGTGAACAGAAATAAATAAGAGCCAGAGATTCCTACAAGGTTTAACTTTTGGCTACATCCACCTGCTGTTCCTTCCCTGTGCCCTATAAAATGGGGGAAGCAATTCATGTTTCCATGATACACAAAAT